ATCGATCACCATTCACTGGTGCCCCGCCAGCGTATCCCATTAGCGCAGGCGGGGTTACCATTCCATTTTCATCCAATAAAAAAAAATTTGGTATATATTCTTAGGCCGGGTAGTCCCGGCCATTACCTGTTCACTGCGAAACATAGGTTGTGGCAGTAAATGGAATGCTTAGCACGTGGATTGACAACCGCAGTTAGGCGGGGGGAAAGGGATTGTTAGTAATGGGGTCAAGTAGCCCCGTGCTGACAATATGCCCTCTCGGGTCGGCCTCCACGCGGTTCCCCCTGGAAACCATCATGGTAAATTCTTGTCGGATTCGTCAAGGTGGACCAACTGACCTGTATTTGTTTTCATGTATCATCTTCCACTGGTGCCCCGTCGGTGTATACCGATGGCGCAGGCAGGGTTATCATTCCATTTTCACCCATTAGAAAGAAACCAGATGCTGCTACTCATCTCTTGACCATTACGATCTCTTAGCGCCTCTTACAACACCCACGGGAAAAGAAGGTAGTGGCCAATTCTATGCCGAGACTTCGTGAGTATCAGCTGATTGTAGACTTACGATACAAACATAACCTGTCTGAAAATTGTTACTTGCGAGGAAGAATGACATCTCTCTTGATCGTTAGTAGAAACTAATGGTAATAAAAGTCCTCCACGCTAAACCTAAATGTAACATTAACAAGTAAGATAATTAATGCAATATTTGGCACAAAACCGTGAAACAGAACGGTGTATCTGTCTCGGTAAAAACCTAAAAATTGTAGCGTAATCAATTTTTTCTAGTAAAATCTTTCGAAATTGCGACGAGCGCGCAAAAACAAACCGCTCGCCTTGACACAACAAGCGATGCTCACTTGTGTAACTTAACGTTTGAACCGCCTTTTTAAGGTAGTTGCCATTAGACAGATCTAGGTAGCCTAAAGATTTTTGCAAATAACTACGATAAATTTGACGTTTGCCATGACTGGCGATTACAAATATATTCTTTTTAGACGATTGCAAAAGAATGCTGATTGACCTCAAAGCGATTCCCTCTGGAAACTATTGGGGTTAATTCTTGGTGGGCCAACTGACCCTGTTTTATCCCCACCTATTATCACTCACTGGTGCGCCGCCAATGTATACCAATAGCTCTATTCGATTTTCACCCATCAATAAATCCATTGATCACCCTATAAGACTGATCTGCACGCGGAATTATTCAATATGATGCCTACGGCCACTTTCTATCATCGTACGGCTCGCCATCGACAGGGAGTTCACCCTCATACCTTACAGCCTAAATGGTCGCGTACAACGCGGTTTCAATGATGCTTTCTCCCACGAACACTCAGGTTATGGTATGCCGAGGTTTTCCCAAGAGACTACAGCATGGGGTTCTTCAAAAGGGGGGTAAAGAGGTTTCTTCAGGGTCGGCAACGCGCGCGTAATACCTCTGGTACTGCAGGCGTTCATAGGCTACAGTAACCACTTACCATCAGGTGGGCCGTATGCTTGTTTGCCACCTCAGAGGTATAAAAAAAAAAACTTGGCTAAATGAATTAACTTCAGTCTCCAGGAAACAGAGAGAAATGATATCATCTCTTTCTACTATCTCATCAGCATAAAGCAATAATGCAAACATTTCAGAATGAACGCACGTTAAATTTTAATTTAAGAAAATTAGAAAAATATGAACATGTCGAATGTTATCTTTAACACAATAGCAACAGTCAAGAAATGTCTGACTATCCCATTAGCAATTATAGTCGTGAATATCATAATCATCATCATATCAGCCGTTAACTGTCCACTACTGTTTTTTTATTTTTTTTATGGGTGATAATATAATGGTAACCCCACCCGCACTGTCGGTATACACCGGCGGGGCATCAGTGAAGGATGATAGGTGAGGATGAAGCAGGTCAGTTAGCCCATCGTGACGAATTCAACAAGAATTGCTCACGATGGTTTCCAGGGGGAACCACGTGGAGGTCGACCTGATAGGGTGTATTGCTAGCAATGAGATTGTTCAATGTCATTACTAACAATCCCTTTCCCCCCCGTAAAGGGAGGTTTTGCCAGTAGTTTCCACACTTGACGGCGGGTTTTGTTGATGTTTTAACGGGACGTTGCTTTTCCTTCATCTATTAAGTTCTCTTAATCACTTTTTACTACACCAACGGTAAAGGAACGCCGTGAACATACTCCTATTTACTTACCTTTGTATAAAACCATCACACCCATTTACTCGAAATACAAATTGCATACCAAACAATGGTTGTTTTTTTTTTCAATTACAACCAAATGGGGCCATGACAAATCGACAATCTCAGAAAGAGATTCGAACGTATGATTGTTGGGTCTCGAATCCGTTACCTTTAACAGTATTAACTATTAAATAACTAGCCCAATGATAATAAACAAATAGTACTCTTAAATCATTTTAAAAGAAGCTTAAATGGATTTCGGAATGGAAAACAAGTGGACGGTAAATGGTTCTTTTTTTAATGGTTGAGAATGGAATGGTAATCCCCCTCGAGTTACCAGTATACGTTGGCGTGGTACCAATGAGGGTTGATAAGTGAGGATGAAAAGAATTCAGTTAGCCCATCGTGACGAATTCCACAAGAATCAACTACGACGGTTTCCATTGGGAAGCGCGTGGATCTCAACCTGATATTGTGTATTGCTAGCAATGGGGCTGTTAGATCCCATTACTAATAATACTTTTTCCCCTGAAAAGGGATTGCTAGTCATGGGGACTAATGGGCCCATTGTTAGCAAGACTTGTCAGGTCGACCTCTACGCGGTTCCCCCCGGAAACCATTGTGACTAATACTTGTTGCATTCATCACGATGGGCTAACTGACCTGCTTGCATACTCATCTATTATTGTTCACTGGTGCCCCGCCAGTGTATTAGGTTACCATTCCATTTTCATCCATAAAAAAACAATCTCTTTCCCCGACGGTTACTAGTGACCGTTGCCTATACATATGAAGAGTACTATAAACATTCAGGAATACGTAAACACCCATAATACTCCTTTGGCTTGGCTATTACTGGACGCTTTTGTTTAGTCTTATACCTCAGTACATAGTGATTTCTTTGATTCTATAATTATCTTTCTAAGTCATTGTTACTGTTGTTGATATTCAATTGACTTGAACCAAACGTTTCGGATCTACTCTCCTCATTCCAAGGAATGGAGTTCTATCCCAGTCTGTTTTTCATAGCTAATCCTCATTACTGGGGGAAAGGGTTGTTAGTAATGCGAACTACCAATCTCATTGCTAGCAATATACCCTGACAGGTCGACCTCTATGTGGTCCCCACTGGAAACCATCGTGCCAAATTCTAGGTGTATTTATCACGATGGGCTAGATAGGGATATTAGAGGGAGATCACGTCGAAGGCCACAAATAGTCGTCTTCCTCAGTAATGAGAATTTTTTTACGGATGATAATGGAATGGTAACACCGCCTGCGCTAACGTTACCATACCATTTTCACCCATAAATAAAAAAACCACAGATGGCATTGACCAGAGATTAATCTGTACTTGTTTGTATTATTATACCTTCGTAGTTATAGACCTCCGACAGAGATTGCAATGAACGTTTGTAATCATAACAATAGTCGCAGCCAGTGCATAAACAGAAGGTAGTAGGTACCTACCTACCTACTTACTATAATAAAGGTACCTTCTTACACAAAAGATAATAAGGAACGACCTTCTTTTTTTTAATGGATGATATTTATTTATTTATTTATTTATACTTTATTGACCACGTTACAAAAAAAAAAGTCTGGTACAAAAGGTAATGTAAGGTAATTCCATGATAATGGAATGGTAATCCCGCCTGCGTTATCGGTATACACTGGCGGGGCATCAGTGATAGATGATAAGTGAGGCTGAAAAGGCAGGTCTTTTTTTTTAATAGATGATAATAAAATGGTAACCCCGCCTGCGCTAATGGTGGCGCTGCACGCTGAACGCTGGCGGGGCACCAGTGAGGGATAAGTGAGAATGAAATAGTAGGTCAGTTAGCCTATCGTGATGAATGCACCTGGAATTCAACACGATGGTTTCCAGGGGGAACCACGTGGAGGTCGACCCGACGAGGTACATTGCTAGCAATGGGACTAGTAGTCCGCACCACTAACAATCCCTTCCCCCCGAAAAGGCAGGTCAGTTAGCCCATAGTGACGAATTCAACGATAAATTTGTCACGATGGTTTCTAGGGGGAACCGCGTGGAGGTCGACCTGATGGGGTATATTGATAGCAATAGGGACTAACCTCCACTTTACTAACAATCCCTCCCCCAAACGACCTTCTTTCAAACAAAATAGTATTTATAACAGATATAAATTATTATACCTACCTATGGCAACTCCTCCTGCGCTTTTGAATTACGCAGGCGGAGCACCAGTGAGGGATGATAAATGAAGAAGAAATCAAATTAGTTAACCTGTCGTGACGAATAAACGATTGTCCAAGGTGCAAGACCGCGTGGATGTCGACTTGACAGGTTGTTCCCATTAGTGATAATCTCCAACCTTTACTAAACAGTAGGTAGATAGGTATGTAGTTCAATAACATTTTTTAATTATTCACAACGTCAGTGGATACCTTTAGAATGTAAGGCAAATACATCTGTTCATAAATTAGCCAAAATCGCTGAATACGTTGACAATTCGCAAAAAAACTAGTTACTTGTTGTCAGATCAAATGTTAAACAATAACCGGCCGGCTAAAAGAGTACCTTGAATAGATCTAATCTCTGCAAAACGGACATCATTTGAAATCAAACAGATTGTAATTTAAAATGCGACCCAGATAGACGTTTTCCACACAAAACGGCTAGACACCGAGGTGGAGCCAATCATTCGGATCGCGGACAGGTTTTTTTCCGCGAATGCTTCGGACTTCGACATAGGCAACGTCTTAGAACCGGCATGCCATCGCAAAGCATGGAAAGTACAGTTAAAATAACTTTAGAATACTCACGCAACAAGGGTCGCTCGGTGATGCTTAGAAAGATACGATATATTTTTCATACATACAAGTACTTGATCACTAAATGCACAAGTCTACAAGTTCACTGTTGTTGTACACTGCCTAGTTTTTGTACCTGGTTGTGTATTGTATTCACAGATTAGTTCTAAATGCGGCGCACGTTAAACACAAAATAGAAACGACGTAAGAAATAAACACGATTACTGTGCGCGACGGAACGCACCGAACTGGCGGCCGGATCGACGATTTCTGAGTGAAACGAAACGTCACGGTGCGCGATCGCCGGCCGGCTCGTTCGGATACCTGTGGGGTTCCATGATTTATTTTATCCAACATCCCGAAAGGTGTGTGCTTTGTTTATTTTTTAGACGGGCTCAAGTTCAATCGGTCGTAAATATAAGATTCTTTAGTGTTACCATCAGATAAACCACGTGTTTGGTTGCTAATTTACTATAATAATAGTAATTGTTAAGTTCTAAAAATCGTTGTTTAAGCTAGACTAGAGCTAAAAGAAAAATAAATTCAATAAATGTGTTAGTTATTTAGTTCCCTACTTATACTTCAAATTCCGTTTCATAACAGTTAGGTTTCGCGTTATTTAAATTTTTATATAAAAAAATATATATACCTACCTATTAGTCAGGTAGGCGATTCTTAATTCACAATACTAGTTTTATCTTCTATACTTATAATAAATCTGTAGAGAGGTCAATTCTGTACATGAAATATATTTCCAAAATAACAATCAGGGGGTGGGGATTAGTGATCGATACTGATGCCAAAAATGCAATCAGTAAAATTTTTGTCCGTCTGTCTGTCTGTCTGTATGTTCGTTATAGAAACAAAAGCTACTCGACAGATTTTAAGGAAACTTGGTACAATTATTCTTCATACTCCTGGGCAGGTTATAGTATACATTTCATCACGCTACGATCAATAGGAGCAGAGCAGTGAAGGGAAGTGTGTCTGTTACATCAAAACCACTGAACCGTGAGGAAGGACATAGGCTACTTATTTTACGAAAAACAACGGAAATATATTTACAGATTGATCCTATAGAAATATTAATAAAATCGGTTGAGTAGTTTAGTTTTTAAATTAAAACTGGTTTTGTCACAACAGAAGTCGTTTTTCTAAATAAAAGTATAACCCCCAAGTTTGAAACAACTTTTGTTCCTTATCTATTTGTTAAAAGATTACGTTACATACATTGAATTCTTTTCAAATCTTCTGTATTATCATTTCTATTAATTAATTAATTAACTTCAAACACGTTTGACTTCTCAGTAATGTGTTTTCTAGTGTTTATTTTTTTAATTCATCAAAAGGAATTTCTTCCAAATTTTTTCCATATTTCCTCATACATTTTATTGAAATAGTTTCTTGAATAATGGCATATTAGTTTTTGATTTATATAAATATTAGAAAATATCTTTTCTAATATTACAGTATAAAGAGCTCTCTTTACACTACGCTAATATTTTATTTTTTAATGGAAATTAATGGAATGGTAACACCGCCTGCGCTAACAGTATACGCTGATGGGGCACCAGTGATGGATGATAAGTGCGAATGAAAAGGCAGGTCAGTTGGCCCATCATAATGAATACTCTTGGAAATCAGCACGATGGTTTCCAGGGGAGACCACCTTACCCCACCTTAGGTAGGACCGTGTAAAGGTCGTTCTGACGGGAGTGGGAATTCCAGGTATATTACCTGGAATTCAGCATAAGTGTTCCCGAAGGGGACCACGTGAAAGTCAACCTGACAAGGTATATTGCTAGCAATGGGACTTGTAATCCCTATCACTAACAATCCCTCTACCCCACCCCCACTGTGCTTATACATATTAGGTATAAATATAAAAGTGAGTTTGTTAGTTTGTTGCCTCTGTGCCAACTAATCGCCATGAAATTTGGCATTCACGTACTCGTCGGTCTATTTATGATAAAAAATATTAATGCATAGGTATATCATGGGCCACCCCTTTTTTTCCTGCAGGTGCCGTAAGAAGCGACTAAGGAAACTTAATGGTCGATCGATGGGCAGCACCGTCCTTTTTAAAACACCACCAAAACATAACTGCGGCTGCCAATACGTCTGCTAAACGTGATAACTACTGTCAAACTCCCCCTCTCCCTTTTCCCCTTATAGCGAAAGCTTATGTTTTTTTAATGGAATGATAATGGAATGGTAGCCCCATCTGCGCTATCGGTATACACTGGCGGGGTACCAGTGATGGATGATAGGTGATGATGAAGCAGGTCAATTAGCCCATCGTGACGAATTCAAAAAGAATAAATCACGATGGTTTCCAGGGCTAACTGCGTGGAAGTCGACCTGATAGAGTATATTGCTAGCAATGGGATTGCTAATTTCTAACAATCCCTTCTCCCCCCGAAAGTTTATGTTCAGCAGTAGACAGTTAAAGGCTGGTATGATGATATGCAAAAGAACACCTAGTTCAGTAAAACAATTTTGCAGCGTTTTAGTAATACACTTTTATATTTAAAAGGAATGTAACGTTAAATTCTAACTCGATTTACGATGGCGGTTATTTATGACTTATGGGTTAGTTTATTATAACCGGCATGTGCCCGCATGGTGTAAAGATGGACACCATTAAATTGATGCGACTAGGCATAATATCAGGTTTTTATTCACAATAATAACATTGCAGTTCGCCGGTTTGCTGACAGTGTCAATCTATCTAATCTGTCTAATATCTAAATACATGCTGACTGATATACAGATCTGATCTATCAACGCACATATAAACGGTTTAGATTTTTTTTAATAGCTTTTTAAAGGCACTTTACACATTTACCGCTCACTGTCGACAACAGTATGACAAGCACCTAACTTCGCCTGCGTTTTTGGTTTATACCGGTGGGATACCACTGAATGGTGATAGCTGAGGATGAAATCAGCGGGTCTACCATGAAATGAAATTCCTAAATTCGTGTTTTTGTTTATACTAAAATCGGACCAATAAATGGAGTTTAACACTTCTTTCGTCATACATCCTATCATAAATGTAAAAAGTAACAATATTTTAACATTTTTAATATTTCCAAACGGCATGTATTATGTAATTTTAACATCAAATTTCTGTTACATGTGGCTCCGAAATTTCGGAAAACATTTCATTGTAGGCCCTCAGGTCTGTGTTGCCCCATCGTGTTGCCATGCTGTTGGCCCATCGTAATAAATTTATCAAGAATAAATCACCTGCTAGCAGGGTGTATTACCAGCAACAAGCAAACTAGATCCTATTATTAATAGTTCTCTCTTCCATTTACTTACTGGGTAGATAGTTTTTGGATTTTTTTTTAATAGATGACAATGGAATGGTAACTCCGCCTGCGCTAACGGTATACGCTGATGGGGCACTAGTGAGGGATGATAGGTGAGGATGAAAAGGCAGGTCAGTTAGCACATCGTGATGAATACTCTTGGAAATCAGCACGATGGTTGCCAGGGGAGACCACCTTACACTACCTTAGGTAGGACCGTGTAAAGGTCGTTCTGATGGGAGTACATTGGGGGAAAGGGATTGCGTTTTGGTTTGAAGGGTGGGATATGGCAGTCAATTTACAGGGTACAGAGAAACAACACCTATCTGTATACTGTTTCGCCCATGATATAGGGTATCATGGGCGAAACAGTATACTCTGTTATGTCCATGGTATTGCTCATGTCTATAGGCGACGGTTACCACTTTCCATCAGGTGGGCTGTCAGCTTGTTTGCTATTCTAAGTTGTATAAAAAAATGTGAGAATCAAGTCAGGTGAGGTTACCCATTGTGACGCATTCACCGGGATTTAACCACTGTGGTTTTCATGAGGTACCGTGTGAAGATCGACCTGACTATTACTAGCAATGGGAACAACAATGGGAACACTTGTCCCCGCTACTAACAATTCCCTGTCGTTTTATTGCTCGCAAAGAGGGCTCAACGTACCCTATTACTTCTGGTGAGATAGTCAAGAACATCTGATATGGCATGATACTGTTATAATTACTTATTACCACTCCACGTGAACTAACTCAAAGATGATAGGGTAAGACAAATGCGTCGGAAGCACGAGTCTAATCGCTGGATAACGGGCTGTGGCATAGTTGATAAGCTATTTCCTTTATTTGCATCGTTAGTAGGTATTATACCTTTACTATGCTATTTTATATTACCTGTACCTATACCGACTTCATAAAAGTGGACGTTTCTAATTTATTTGTATAGTTATGTTTATGTTATGTTAAATTATGCTATTATTTCGAAATTTATCTAAAGAAAGGAGTTTCCCAATTTCATATATATTTTCTTTGCGTATGTATTATATATTAAGTGACATATTTGCCAATTGGAGACCGTTTTAAATGATTACTATACGACAGATTGTGTTCGGGAATTAGTTTCATGTTAATTCCGTAGATAATTTTATCACGTTTTTTTAAAGGAATAATGTAATGGTAACCCCGCCTGCGCTAACAGTATACGCTGACGGGGCAAAAATAAGTAATGTTTTTTTTTTAAATGGGTGATAATGAAATGGTAACCCAGTTAGCCCATCGTGACGAATTCCACTAGTATTAACCACGATGGTTTCCAGGGGAACCGCGTGGAGGTCGACCTGATAGGGTGTATTGCTAGCAATGGGTCAGTTAGACCTCATTACTAACAATCCCTTTCCCCCTGATATGTGGTGTTATCATTCCACTATCATCCATTAAAAAAAAATATTCAATGCAGTAGGTAGCATATGATGTCGTCATCATCAAATCAGCACTGGACAGTCCACTGCTGAATAAATGCCTTTCCCATAAGAAAGAAGGGGTGGCTTGTAGTTGGTTATGGTTTATAGCTATATGTTATAGCGTATAATATATTTCAATTCAATTAATTGCGTTTTACAATATTATTATTAACAAAAAAATTAAAAAATCCGTAAATTAAGTACGTTGCAGACCCTGTCAGGCACAGTAATTAGAAGCGAGGAGGGCGTCGCTTTATTTTAATATTTTTCATAAGATTGCCGTAATTTATACATTAAAAATACATATCAATACATATAATAAAATCGTAACTGATCGCTGTCTGTACATGGAAGATATATAAGAAAAACTATTATAGGGCGGCTTTACGAGTATAAACGAAATAGAATAATAGAATGTCTGTTTGTCTATACGTTTCTGCACGCTAATCTCAGAAAATGCTTAACCGATTTGAATGTGGT